CAATCAATGTTGCAACAACAACAACTATTTACGACTCAATCAATTCAAACTCAACTCAATCACTTTGATGCCAAATGCATAACTACCATTCAATGTGTTATTTTCGTTTCGTTTCATTTGATTTGATTTTTTGGTGCCGCTGCGTCAGTACTAGTGTTTTATCTAGCTCCATTCAGCTGCCTCACCAGGCGCCGTTTCTCATGTCTGTACATAGCAAATACATGACTTTCATACTTTACATAATTGCCACATCGTACATTGGTGCATACACACATACTTGTACACAAAAACCAGGAATTCAACATGTTTTTGTCATTTGCTGCATTTTCATCGCCTTCAAATCTTATCTTTTAAATTAATTGAAATTTTACTTTTGCCCCCCTCGCCATTATTGGTTTCTACTGCAAAAAATGTAAACCAGCTTAATTTTGGTTCTTACCTTTTTGCTTTTCTACCCTCAATTATGTGAGTGTGTGTTGTTGATTTTGCGTGCTTATTTTGAATTATGATATATTTTTCTTTTAATAGTATTTACTCACGGCGCAGTTAGCAGAAGGTTCTAGTTTATGGCGGCTGCTGGCCAAAATAAAAAAACAAAAACAAATAAAAAACTATTATTTAAAATATGTATGTATATACGTCATAAATTTCGGTTTAGTATCTGAGTAGAGAAAGTACGACAAAATCTACTCAATATTCTTCATGGAAAATTTTTGAAGTCTTTTCAACGACAAAGTAACGCACTTAGTATATATTTATAATTTATCATTACTATTTACATTAAGCGAATATATTATTTGATACTGAAACCAACGCCTGACACAAATTTAGTACCCACCAAATAGTTAAAAGTATATCATTCGAATATCAGCATTTGTTTTATCTCTGCGATAGACTGAAAATGGTTTCCACGGAGCGGCAATTTCTCTCAAATATGGTGAATAYGGTGGTTAATCGRTGATATTCATTGAGGTTTTGGGTTTAAATTCGTTGCTCAATGCGATGATGAATTACCATCATGTAAAATCCAATTATTCCTCCTCMATTTCGGATGTTATCGACGGATGTTCTTAAACAAGGTCCAAATAGAACTCCTTATTGACCGTCTGTCCATCCGGAATAAATTCATGTTGTTGGGTGGGTTTTTTTGGTTTCGGTTCGTTTTTTTTTCTCCATTCCCATGATCATTGACTTGTTTGCATGTCAAACTCATAAAATCATATCTCATTGGCAGTTATAATGCTCTCCATGAATGTGGGATCGGAATTCGCACGATGAAGCATGTCCAAAGAGACCTATTTACGGTACTCTTTAAAAAAAAAAAAGTCGACTAAATAATCAAAAAATTCGGGCTAACTAGACTTATCTTCAAMGATCTTTCGTCCATCTCTGTAGGCTTTTTTACTACTCGAAGGCTTCTGTTTTTGATAAAACTGAGTCACCGTAAGCCTTCAACCATCGCTTCGTAGAGAGCCAAATGTGCGAGTAAGCCGTGCTGCACTTTATTTCCTGGCATTTACTACTGGCCTAATGACTAAGCGACTTTTTTCTAAAACTTACATGTTGTAATTCATCTAATATTTGATAAGATAGACCAAGATAATTATATATTATGCAATGTTGTAGTACATTAATTTGTCCTATAATCAGTAGTGTTCGCAGGGCACGCTGTACAAGTAGGGTTTTTTTACACATCACTTTATATTATTAAGTAAAGAGCGCTAATGTTTTTGAAAACGTATGCAAATGTTTAGCAGAGAGACTATAGCTTCCTTAGAATGAATGAATTTTTCAAAACTGTCAGTTAGTTTCGGTTCCTATTCAATTGAAATAAACATAGAATCTAATCTCTATCTAATCTAATGTATAATACTATTATCTCTAATATATAGGACATAAAACTTAAGCATWTAGCCAATAATTTTAGCTTTAAGAAAGCGCGACTAACAACTGTTTTAAAGCGTTTCCAATATGGGTACAATAATGTACAATTTGTTTGGCCTAGTTTGCCTCATTATTTTTTTGTTTTTTTTTTTTTAGAAGTTAATGCAACTTTATGTATAACGAAAGCCTAGAAGAGAACTTGCTTTCTTAATGCTCCATGTTTTTAAAAGTTTCATAATATAGAGAGCTTGAATTAGTATCTAATCATAATTTTAGTAACCAGAAAAAGGTTTTATAGATCGGTGTGCTTTACAAACTCAATATTTCCAACTAAAAACTACCTTATAATAAAGCATATACCGGTGTTAGATCCTTTAGCGAAAACCTCGTAGTGTTTCTAGAAAAAATGGTGTGCAACTATATTCCCGAGAAACCTTATAAAAACTAATTATAAAAGATTTTCTATTATTTTGATGTATTTTCTTTTATTCCCAAAAAACCATTTAAATAGTAATTATAACAAATTTTATCTTTTTTATCAATTTGTTTATTTTCTTCTTGTAAATTGATGTTATATTTTGAATTTTTTTAATTTTTTTTTATTTATTCTAATTACATTCATATATACAATATTATTAAATAAGTAGGTTAAGGCTAATGAGAACGCTGCCCACGTTTTATAAGCATTAACGGGCTTCCACGCGATTAGACACGAACAAAATGTACGCTTTACTATGTGGAAAAACAGGAAACAAACGGAATTGAATTTTGAATTTTTTATTATTTTTAATGTAAAAAAATATTAGGAATTTAATTATCTATATTTTTCTTTTATTTGACACTTAAAAATTCAATGAAATATTATA